TGTATCAGGAGTGCAGTCTGCATCAACATGAACGAAGGCGGGTGGCTGAGAGAGATGCATACAAATGGCGTCCGCTTTACGCTGAAATCACTGAATACTTTATACACCGTCTTCCTTAAGCTGATTGGTTCACGACAACATGTGACAGTAAATGTGCAGAAGCGTTAAAATCAGCCGCATTCGTTCATTAATTTGAAACTGGTTCCTAATAACATTTTGTTAACATATGGCTCCGTCAGTTACAGGTCGACAAGATGATGTATGGTCGAAAAACATTTATTTATTCATCCAAATAGCTCTGTTTCATGACTGTATATCTGCTTCTTAGGTTTCGAAGTGCCAGTCGATACATTCTTGGATTAACATTTGTCAACGCATCGCAAGAAGCTGTGGTCTAATTGAAGGTACCATTCCGGCATTTGGCAATACATATTCAGTCCTCTCATTTTACTTTTTACTATATTTTTCTGTCTTTATAAATTTATCTTCTTTAATTTATTTTCATGTCTTGTCTGTCTTTTTCTCACATTATTTTTCCCTTCCGTGTTTCCTCCAGTCTCTTATTCATTTATTAATTTCTTATTCGCTTGTTTGGGTGTGTTTAATTCTTATTATGTTTGTTTGTTTCTTTGGTGCATTCTTTCAGACTCATCATCGCCAACCGACTGGGTGCAATAAGAATGTTAATTGACTAAACACGCATAAATCAATGGAATACAAACCGGCGGAAAACGCGCAGAATGCACCTCAAATTCCTTATAATAACGTCAAACCCGTGTTCTGCCCCGAGGCAGCTTCAAGTCAGTGCTTTGCTTGTGGTTCTGGTTGCTCTCAGTGTGCGTCGGTCCTCACAGATACGGGATGACATTTAATATTGCGGGGAGTTGGTATGTTGGTAGACACACAGACAGTCGGCCGAACCTGTGTTTCGTGTTCTGCAGACTAGACGAGACTCGTTAATTTCCTCTCCTGCCTTCTCATGGAGTTGAAGACTCGACAGCATCTCAACCAGGTGTTTGTATTCAGTGTGAATAAGATATTGGAGAGTCGTGAGTTTGACTTCCGTCTCACATATCTCTTGATTGAAACGTGACCAAGAGTTTAACGTTTTACTGTTTTGTTTAAAGCTTGGATATTCTAGAATCAATAACATTTGTGGCGAATGAGATTGACGAAGTGAACGCAAAAGGGAGGTCGTATCTGTACGTCTGTCACTCCAAATATACTGAACTGATTTTGGCGAAACTTTGTTCTGGAGGTAAAAATCAAAACTGTCCTTAAAAATAAATTTGTTTCGCATTGGCCCAATACAGGGTTCACTTTACATGAAGCTGAAATTGACATATTAAACTGATACACATAGCAGAATTTATTTTAGCCAAAATGAAGGAAAGAAATCTAAACCAATGAGCATCTTTGTCTTATGATA